TGCAGCAGTCGTTGCCGGCTCATGACTTACAAGTGCCTAACTGGGAAGACACTAGAAGCAGTAATTCGGTATGGAAGTCATCGGCCTGTCTCCATCCCATCCCTACCACACCTTGGATGGCGAAAATCCCAGATTCCCAGCTATTGGGCACGTCGAGCAAGGGTGGCGGCCGCAAACGCAAGGTACAGTTCGGTTGCTGGACAACAACCACTTCGGCTCCGGAGTAAACTTACTCAAATAACCTAAAGTTAGGTAAGAAAATGCATGTTGGTTAGTAGCTAATGATGAAATACGGATCAAAGCCTCCAAACGCCCCCTCCCGTCTCTCTAAGCGCGGCGCAGGCACTTGATAATAAACGGAGGTCGCTTGGGCACCTTCGGTCAGGGAGTAGCTCCCGAGAGAGAAGCCAGCCGGGAGATGGGCCAACCAGTTCTGACAAGCGAGGCCCTGTTAAAACGTGGAGCGCAGGGCCACCCATCCATCCATGTTTGCTCTCACCGCAGCAGTGGCACATTTCCCATCAAGGGGTGATTCAAACCGGTGCGGCTGAAGGACGAGATGGCAGCAATAATGAGAATTGCGAGCGTCGGCGGTGCGTGAGGGGCCTCAGACGGGCCACCTGCCTGCCGAGCACCGGCAAGTTCTCGCATGCCAAGCAAGTTGTCGCCTCTGAAACCGATCCAGCACCATCAGATAAGTCCCCATCCAAGTGCGTAGGTAGGTGGTATTGCTGCGTGCGAGTCGGTCACACTGAGACCCAATCCCCAGGTTGCTGAAACTCGCCCTCAAACACCCCCTACCACGGAACCTCCCATGGTGAGCAGCAGGGAGGCATGGGGAACCTGGTACAACTCTGTGCCTGAGTGGACGCAGCACTTTAGCAGCTGCAGCGATGTGGTTGTGGAGCGACGTGAGTGTCCTGCGAAATTAACCTCCAACACACGGGAGCCACTGTGCCCACTTCCAATGCCTTTACCGCTAGCCCACTTCCGTCATTTGTGGACCACTTAGTAATTTCTACGACGCAGGGTGGACTGCAGTGTACCGACATGCTGCAGCGACAACACGGGTCTTGGGCAGACGGTAGGCAAATCGCCCGGCTAAGCTGCCTATCTCTGTGGGCAAGAGGGACGTCCGCGGTAAGGGAAGTGCATGCCCGGCCTGGGTGCCTGCCAATAGAAAGCCCACCTGCCTCCCATCCGGTCCCAGGCAGGCAGTTCCTGCCTGGACAGCGCCGGAATGCTCTCTGCCGCGCCTTCCAAACCAACATCACCAAGGAGGTGCCTGAGTCGCCGGCCGGCAGGTACCTTCAAGATTGGCCTCTCGCACGGCTGCACTGGTCGGGCTAGTGCGCCTAAGAGGCACTAGTTGCGCAGGCCTGGAGTAGAAGTCAGGTACCGCTGGCCGCTCGCGACGACCTAAATTACCCCCAACCCAGCACGAGGTACGGAGCCTGTACGCAGGGCACGACTGCGCTTCCACTTCCACTTCCACCCACTACAGCGCACTAGGCCTGGGACCGGGGTGGCGACCGGGGCCATTTTCAGACATTGCCCACTCTCTCCATCTGTTCATCACCCGTCCTTCAATCCATCCACCCCCATCCATATCCAATTCCATCATTGTCCTCAGGAACCCTGCTCTTTCTTTCTTCGCCTGCGTTGACGAATCTTTTTCTTCTAGAGATCGTCGCCCGTCTCTTCTTCTCTCCTTCTTTATTAATATAACCCTTGGGGTCGCGTTGACCTCGTTCTACATATCAACCAATCTTTGACCCGCAAAGAGCCGCTCGCTTGACAAATTCTTATAAGCCACCCCGTCGCCTTTTGAAGACGCCTTTCACAGCATTGAGACGCATTAACCAGCCGACGCCGACGCACATAGCCAGAACGTAAAGGAGCAAGAGCAGAGAGGAGAGAGAGAGGCGCACTCCCCTCAAGACCGACTAAACAAGCATGCGTCGCTAATCCATCCCTCTACTGTCTCTTTGATCCCCGCTCTCTGTTCTTGATCTTTCCCCCAAAGCCTGATCGTTGCATTTCCAACATGGACAACTTCGAGGGAACCCTCTTGGTCCCTCCCGACCGGGGCCAAATTTTGGGCAGGGCAGTTTGGAAGGTGAGCTAGAGTTCCTTTTGCGCATACCATTGTAAGTACCGAGCCCTTCAGAGTGCTAACCTCAATTGCCTTGTCCAGCCTCGCTATGTTATCGTGGGTCGTAGGCCAACTACTTTTCCCCGGGAACATCAGAGTAGCCCTAGCTACTCTGGGCTCATGTCGGCCAGTCGCATTGTCAATAGCAGCTCCAAGTCAAGCCCGAAAGCACTCATGGATGAGCCCAGCATTGCGATTTTCAAGTCCAAGGTGAGTAGCGTGTTCGTGTTCGAATCGCTGGTGTTGTGCCCAATGCTCCATTATCAACCTACTCTTTCTGTCTTCCCCTCCCGCGGTCTAACAATCCTGCTTCTCGCTCTAGGATGAAGCGGAACCTATTCAACAATGGCCGATCAGCTGTGTGGTGGATTGCCAGGTTCAGATGCTGGCGAAACGCAAACAGAGTCATGTGCTTCCCACTCTTGTCATAACCCTGTCTGATAAAGAACGAAAGAGGCGATCTAGTCGAGCCGGAAGTCTTCTTCCTGCTAACAAGGACAGCAACCCGACCTCCCTTTGGTTCCGCTCAACTCCTGAAGAGCCTTACCCTACCCTCCAGGATTGGGCAAGGTACATCATGTCCAGGAAGCGACCGATGAGCCCCGACGAAAGTCCTATAACCCCCACCTCATCGGTTACCTTCTCTCCACGACAACGAGACGCATCCGATTACTTCCCTCGTCCCGGAAGCGGCCCGGCGAACAGAAGTCTTCATCACAAGAGCTCCAATGCAACATACTCATCTGGTGTCAAGGAACGACCTACAACGTTTAGTTCTGAGTCCCCCAGCTTAAGATCAAAACGAAGCGACTTGTCTTCGCCATCGAGCAACTTTCCAGGCTCGCACCAGGTGAACTTTGGAGTGCCGTCTCAGTACTATACTACAGTGTTGCCGACAGATCTTCCTTCGCCTGTAACCACAACAGGGGACTTTCATGGGGATTTTATTGAAGGGTGGACTTCTGCTCAGGGGCGCACCTCGACAATGAGTTCACCCGTTCAGGGGCGTGATAGCATAAGCTACCATGCTCATAAGACTTCCTTGACGAGCTCCAGCTCTCCCCCAATGCCCAGAGAGACCATTCTCGACAGGGCTTTCCAGATGAGAAGCATGTCGGCCTCGGAACAAATCCTGCCTGGTGAGGAGAAACTCAGCTCTGTCGCTCGGTTCGATGCCCTCATGCGCGATATGGATGAGAAGCGCAAACAGAGAGAGGCTGCAGAACGTTCCGAGAATTTGGCGATGCGAAGTGCATTCGAAGCTGACGATAGTTCAAACACCGATGATTCTGAAGACACCGACTCCGATGACGGTAATTTTGCCCCAAGGGAGGGTCAGTATCAACCGCCTCTGGTAGCACCCTCAACACATCGCACAATAGGAGAGTTTCCGTCTTCCTCCCGCCCCGGTATGTCACGGCAAAATCTGAGCTTCCATGCCAAGGCCACCCCCAATAGTGTACTTCAGGAATCCATACATCGGCCACAAACCGCGAATGAGAAGAATCGCCGTGGAACCCAAAGGGCCCAAAGTACTCAGTTTCTCACATCACCATCCGGTGCGGAGCTGGCCGCCGCAGCTTCAGGAAAGCTTCCTGAGGATGCTCTTATGCGTCTCAGTGGTGATCAACGCCAGTCCATCTCCAGCGCGAAAAGGTTGAGTTTTACCGAATTCACAAAACGGCTGTCCAGCACCAGTAGCTTATTGCTAGTCCAGACGAACGCTAGCGGGGGCAGTAGCCGACGAAGCAGCGAGATCGATACCAGCCAGGCGTCCGTTCCCCGGACGAATCTGAAGGCTCATTGCCAAGGTCCAGGACCCAGGGAGCGAAATCGAATACGGGATGACCAAGAAAAGAGATGCAGTTGGCGGGGTGGGATGGGAGTCGAGGGCGGTTTTTTCTAATCCGCATCATCTCGTCACAAGCCGCCCTCGGCTTCTCTTGATTTGAAGGTATTTTATTTTCCATTGGGCGGCCGCGAAAACGAAGCATTATGTAATACCCGGGGGCGATTTTTTATGCGACATCGACTTTTCATTTGTCCGCACGATGATGCTTTATGATACTCCGAGGATGGGTTTCACCTTCGGCATTGGGTTTTCTACAACCCCGCATTCTGATTTTCCAGAGCACGTACACACACACACACACACACACACACATTCACCACACAGTCAGTCATCTTGGGAGCATTCATTGATCATTTTCATTGTACGAATTATGGGATAGTGATCGAGGATGAGGCCTACATCGATAAAGATTCTTATGGGTCGACGATTAGTCTACGAAACGGATCCGTCTTACGCTTTACTTTTAGCAATACGTTTAACTTTGGTTTTGGATGATGATGAGGAAAGAACGATTATTTATCTAGATACCTGGCGGCTTTCTTTGTTTATCGCATATCTCACATATCGGAGACTTTTTAATAGTATTTCTTATTTACGATTTCTTAATCTACTTAGACCTCTCGGCGGGTTGGTTGCATTTTTAAAACCCTCCCAGTATCAAAACTCTCAACACAATGGTCTCAATCTCAGCCTTGAACAAATCTCAGATTCAGTTTCAGTGATCTCAGTTTCAGTGATCTTAGTTTCAGTGTTGGCACAAGATCATAGCCTTCGGCATTCATCTAACTAAATTTCTGGTATCTGGTAAATCTCCTATTTTGCGCCCCCTCATATGCCTTTCGCTATGTCGCTCATGATACATTATGCAGTTTTCCAGGCCCGTGGCGTACATCTTTCTCCCTTTAAGAAAAGCAGCACCATCCTACCGGTCCAAATCGTGGCAGGCAAGGATCCACTGCGCCCAGGGCATAATCACCTTGAACTATTATGGATTTAGCTGATGTACTGGGCGATGACCTGCTGTTCCTCGGGCTGCAGCCTCTGTCCAATGAAGTTGGCGATGGCGCCGTTGTGTCGCTGGTTGGCAGCTACCATATACTCCTTGACCCAGGTTGTGACATTGGCAACCTCAGGGAAGTCATCCCGCGCAAGAGGTTTGCAAGTGTTGAGGGCTGTGAATGACATCCCGAAGCCGATGTCATCTACGTCTGCCTCGGTAATAATCTCGTCTCCTGCTCCGGCACCCACAGTAGGGGGGTTGGCAAGAAGAGAGAGCAGGATACGGCAGCTGTTGCCCCAACCCTTGACGAACTTCTCTGCGAAGACCTGGGAGTCGCAAAGAGTCTTGGTGAGGGATACGACAGCAAGCTTACGGTCGACAGGCCGCGCCAGCTTCTCCGTCTCGCTTAACACGAACGGGGGGTACACTTGTGCGAACGCCCTCTCATCGACCTGGTTCGACTGTTTAATGAAGTAGTCTGCGCCATAACCAGCCTCTAGCCTCGCTGCGACGAGATGAAAGAATCGGGCGAACCTAAGTTTCAACGAATCGGCCACGTTTCCTTGCAGCTTCGTGTAGGTTAATTGGAGGATGGTGCCGAAGTATTTTTCCACCACGCCCCTATAGCAATCGTTAGCATCGGGTAAATCGAGACGGGGTTTCGGGGAACTCACGGCTCAATGGATTTGACAATGGCGTCTAGGATGTCGAAGGCGTATAGCTCAGACTTCTTCCCACTAAGGAGTTTCTGGAAGATGCCAAGGATGGGCTCCAATTGGTTTTCTGCGACAATTGTCTTCTCGATCCTAGGAATCAAGGCGGACAATAATCGGGTGCAGGCAGGAACGTTGCCTCTGGTCTCCCATAATGATGGGTTGAGGAGTGGAGCCAATAATGACTTGTAATTGTCAGAAATAGTTTCAGGGGGGCTGGATTCAAGCAGCTGTGCAAGAATTTGGAAGATGTATTGCATAAATTCTATTCCCAAATATGTTAGAAGAAGTCAACTTCTTAATCTGCATGGAACGTCGATGCTTACCTGTGACGTCCTCGATGAGGATATTGTGGAATGGCTCCCATAATTTCTGGTTGAAAAGGGCTGCGCTCGTTGATGAGCAATACCGAACAAGAGCTCCAATAGCTTCAAAGTGATAGTAATAAAATCTGGGGTTGCTAGGATTGGCCTTCATAACGTTTGTGATCAGGATGAGATGGGTTAAAACAGTATCGAGTTGGGCAGTGGCACCGTCCTTGATGACGATTAGGATTCTCATCACGCAACGCATCAAGAATTCGTTCTCCTGGAGCTTAGCCGGACTCGTATCCTTCTCGATCAATTTGAATAGGTGAGCGAGAAGATCCTTAGCGAAAGGCTCAATGTCAGCTCGAGGGAAGACGGAATTGCCCGAGTCATCTGTGAGGAAGAGGACACGTTCTACGGCAATAGCAGCGTAGCTATACACAACGTAATTGTCCGAATTGAGGTTCTGAATCAGAGGCCCAAGAGCCTGTTTCCACTGCTCTTTGGACAGTTGGCTGCGGAAGGTATAGAGGAATTTGATGCCGTCAACCTTGGAAATCGGGTGGACTCCATCATTAGCCACCAAATCAGAGGCGATATGCTGTTCAAAAAAGTCGACAACGTTTACAAGAGGATTCACCGTCTTGACACCTTGGGCGGCCGTCACAGCACCCTTGGCTGCAATAGACAGGAAAAGGTAGACGGCGGTATCCTTGGCTTTCCAATCAGTCTTACCCTGGGACAGGTAGTGGTTAATGTACTTTGACACAACACCTGTGACGGGGCCTTCGAATTTCTCCTGAAGCTTTCGGAGGAAATCTGTAGCAGACCTGCGCCTCGAGTCTGTATCAGAACCCTCCAAATCCCGGCGAATAAACTCGATGGGCTCATCCTCGAACATCTCCACATCGGTTTCTCGCAATGCCACATTAGGCAAGATGACCTTCTCCACGATCTGGGTCAAAACAGCCTCGTCGTTGAAAAGGCCGGCATGCTCCTTTGTAGAGGCCACGGCAGTCAAGAAGTGCAGAGCCTTGCTCACAAGTCCGTCGTATTTGGTCTCCGGGCCAATTGCAGATAGCAGATTCCAGACATTTGTGATAAAAGGCTGGCAATACTTGGAGAAATCTTCGTCGAATTTAATGGTGAGGAGCTCGAGAAGCTCGCAGATATCAGCCTTGGTCGTATCAACAATGCTTGTTTCCGTTTCGTCGTCAGTCTCCAGTAGGGGGCTCGTGTATGTCAAGTACTTGTGGAGCAGCTCGGATATGCTGGCAAGATTCTCGTCGAAAATGGGAGGCAGATCATGACAGGACATGTCGTAGATAATCTTGATCTGGAGGTCGAGTGTCTCAAACCAACCTTTCAGCTCATCCTTCTTGTTGGCATTTTCGGTGATCTTCCCGTCAGTGGCCTAAGACAAAAGGATATCCGTTAGTGTCGGGTGTTGGTTCAACAGAAGATGGCTCCGGGTACATACGACGAGCAGCTGGACGAAGGGTTGTCCGAATGTCTCGATAACGTGGTTGATTTCCATATACAGTTCGTCCGTGCGGAAAAGCGGCTTCCACCTAGCGAAAATGGAGTGTGCAACTTCGAGAACACCAATGTTCACCTTGGGATCGGTCGTCGAAAATCGGCTAACGAGTTGCTACAAAAAATAGATGTAAGCCAGATCGGGGTCTATGGCGTTGGCGGCAATATTTGGTGCCTACCTGAGTGAGTGTGTCCCATCTTCGCCAGAAATCCGAATCGGCAATGACGCTGATAGCTTCGCCTAATTGTGTCTGGACATTGGGTGGAGAACTGATCATAAGTCCGATGAGCTGTTCTTTAATTGTGTTTACTTCGTCCTGCGGGAGCTTGTAGTTTCCCTCCTCGTCCTGTGTAGCAGAGCGGTTAGCGAAGAACAGCATGGACATCGCTACCTCTCTGATCCGTGAGCCAAGCATACCACATAATTTGTACGGATAAAATTCTTGAACGCAAGAGCTGCCGCGAGACGAGTGTTGGGCGGAAGACTGGTGGAGTTGACAATGTTGAGCAGAGTCAGCGAGTATTGTGGTTTGGTCGCTTCTTGCTTCAAAGACGATTCAGCTGTCATGGCCGGTTAGCTGGCTGTCTTCAGAATCAAGACAACATTGATTAGCGGGGAGGATTGCATGAAACCTTTTCTATGTTGAGCTGGATCGAGTGTTGCATTCAGCAACTGGGAGATATGACCAATGTCAGCCGCCATGATGGAATCGCGGTCTCGAGAGGGTCGATGTGGGGGAGAAAGGAGTGGTTGTGACGGGGGGAGGAAGAATCTTGAAGGAGAAGTGGTGGTAGCCGAATCTTTTGGCGGGAGCCTTTGTTGACAATGGGCCTATTCTACTGGGTCCTCTGCTACGGTAACCTATTGAGCTAAAAGCTCCAGAGGTGGGAATTGCTTGCCCCGCACCTCAAGCTCAGGTTGGGACAGAGCTGAGCTTCTACAGCGACTACCCTAGAGCTCCCAACATTCGGTGGACATTTTGTTGATTTGCATTACGGAACGGCAGGGAAGGGTCAAGTTTGATCCGGGGAGTATATTTGGCCCGTGTTTTGTGTAGCCGATACAGCTATTTGGCCCGGTTTTCTGGTACATCTCAAGAATGCCCACGGCATCTTCGTACAGTGGTGGCATGAGTTATGTTAATCTTCACGGACCTTCAAATCTAGCGTAGTTTCATCATTTATATTGGATGAAAAAGTACAACCCTACGAATGCCCAATAATCGCCCTCATGATTGTCACTTGTGCTGGTAAAATATGGTATTGTCAGGGTACATTGTCCGATCCCTGAGCGCCGGAATAGCAACTGTTTTACACCCCTGATCTGAGATTGAATAGGAAAAGGGAGAGGAAAAAAAGTTAGATTTGAGAAGAAAAAAAATCATGATCTTTGTGAAAGGGCTATGCGAACCAGCTTTGGCAGCCCAGACTGCAGGCAAAGCTCCTACCCAAGGTAGATAGGCACCTCTGGCTTGCAAATATATAGATAGATAGTGCTATGTATTTTATGGATGTCTGACAGGAGGCAGTTCGATGGTGATAGTGGTTGGCTGATGTGATTTTTTTTCCTTCCCTGCGCCAAAAAGTGGGCTCTGGCCACTGGCTATGGGCCTGGAGCTGGGAACTAGCCCGCTAAGTGGGTAGATCTCACCACCTCAGTGCCCGGATCGGCAGAAACAGCAGAATTATGGCACCCAGCAGTCACCTTCCATCCATGAACCTCTTTCGTCCTCATAAACCACGTTGATCGGCCACCAGATCACCACCACTCTGTTCCCGCATGCGATGATCAAGCCAGCCTGATACCAACCCAGCGCAGCCCTACCGAGCTGCGCCAAGTTCCTCCCATTCGCTCCAAACGTCTCTACGCCTTGGCCTTGCTCAAAGCAGGGTCTCCCCACAAGCTCCTAGTCCTAGGATTCCGACAAGGCTCCCCTCCTACCTCCAACGAAGCCAAGGAGATCGACATTTACGCTGCGCGCATTCCCTTTGCTGTCGCTCTCTGTTCATGGCTACCCTCCCAACCGCAACCTTTAGTATTTTCCTGCGAGCCCGTACACCTTGATGCTCCAACGGTCCAGCCTTTCCCACTGGTACGTCGCACAAGAGAGAAGCCAGGTCCGGCACCTGCCCCTCCAGTTTGCTAACATCATGCCCAGAGCACATGTCCCCCCCGACTGGCGATGAGCAACCCACGCCGGACTCGTCCCGCCCTGGCGGTCTTGCCAATGTTTTCCGCGGCCTGACAGCCTCCCGGTCGGCCAAATCGCTCACGCTGTCGTCCTCGTCGTCCTCCGTCGCTCTTCCAGTCGCCGATATTGTCAATGCCACGCCCACCACCTCATCCAGGCTTTCTCCCAACACCATGGACTCGTTCGAGCTCCTGAAGAATGGATCACTCAGCGAGCGCATTTCGGCCGCCAATACTCTCAAGTACGCCGTTCCCGAACAGCCCCTCAACCCCGTCATCGATATCTGGTACGCTGCAAAGGATCTCATTGAAGCGTCGAGGGCACCCGTTGCAAGAACCGCCGGCTGGGAACTTTTGACCGAATGCGTGAAGCACACCTCGTCCACGGATCTCGAGCGAAGAGAATATTTCCAGACACTGGCCGCGCCTGCCAACCCCGAGGACTTCCATCTCCAGCTTGCGGCAATGGTTGATTTGACCCGCCATGGGCGTCTTCTTGTCGGGTTTGACTACGACCTCCTACCTCTTCTCACTCGATGGCTTGGAGACGCCTACACAGCGGTGCGCACCGCTCGAAAGAATGCCTCCTCCGCGAGTAGGGGTTCGAGTCGATCCGCTAGGAATAAGGCTGTCGCCACCGGCGAAGAAAAGAACTTTTCTCAGCTCTTTGTCTTCTTCATTGACGTCATCAAGTTCAGCTCCAAGATCGCCGACGACACAGCCGTTTCTGGGCTTGTTGACAAGCTGCTGAATATTTGCATGAGTACAAGTGTTGAGGAAGATTTGCGATCGTGCATTTCTGTGTTTGATGCATTGGTCACTTTTGGATCCATCCCCAACGACAAGTTAAAAGGCTGCGTTCAAGTTCTGAGTTCAATCCACTGCATAGTACCGAATCTACAGAAGACCTCTTGGCACACTATTGCTAATCTGTGCAAATCCCACAATGGTCAGGCTACCGTACGCATCTTACTTGATGCGCTGCGTGGCATCTCTGCAGAGGGAGCCAAGGATAAGGATACGACAAGAGAAGTTAGGGGATCCCTTTCTGTTCTTCAGAAGCTTCTTTCCAAAACTACAGAGAAGGGATATCCAGCTGTTCCATATGCTCTTCTGGCGGATGGCTTGTCGACTGTGGTGCGATCTGGTCCTGCCCCTAGGGTTTGTGCGGCTGTCCTCCAAGTCATCAACGCCTTGTTCAGCGATTCTAAAGGTAACTTACACAAGCTGATAGTCGAAGAGGACTGGTCCGTGGTACTGGATGTGGCAGCCGAATGCGCCAAGAAATTGGGAAGTGATCCGGATCATCCCCTGGAGGAGCGGACTGAGGATCTTGTTCAAGAGCTTCAAACTCTCCTTGCTCGGCTTGATTTGATCCTTGGCCAAAAACACACCGACTTTGTCCCACGTCAAACTATAATCAAGTTCTTCGTCAGCGTGCCCCGGCTTCTCAGCGACACCACAGCAGGCGCGCTTCTGAACTACTTCCAAGAGCTGAGATGTTGTTCGCCATCAGATCTTCGGTGGGAGAAAAATTTGGCTATTGTTTCCGATGAGTTTTTTAGCAACCGCAAACGGTCAACCCAGACCAGACTCCATGCTCTCCGCATTATTAAGGACTCATACGAGACCATGGACCTTCTGGCAGATGATTCCGAGCAAAATTTTGTTCCTGCTCTTGCCAAGAGCATTCTTCGAGACATAACCGAAGAGCAGGATGCTGCGGTACTTGATGCTGTCATGGATCTCATGATTCCGGTTGTCACATCCTGCGACATGCAGCTCTTCGATTTCATAGTTGGGACCATCAAGGAAATTGCTATCAACGATCGAGTGACATCGCCAATGACACCAAGCGCCTTGGCTTCATTGGCGGGAGATGCGCCCGTACCTACAGCCGGCGAATCATTGTCTAATGTGGTCATTAAGGGCTACGTGAAGATGTTTACCAATGTGATGAACTCAAGCTGTGCAAAGAGTGTGAAGCTCTACACCACGCTCGTACATATTGCTAAATCAATCTACTGTGAGGTGGATGCGCGCCTAACAGCGATGAAGTTGCTCTTTCGATTGCGTGCCGACTGGGCCAGCCGAGTTTTTGTTACAAAAGTGCTGGAAACCAACTTTCTCGCTGCCGGAATATGCCGCACCGAGGAGTCCTTAGCCCGGAGACAACGTGAGGAGGCTTTCCACTCATTAAGGACCACTCGAAGTGATCATGGAGGCCTGTCTCGTCCGGCCCGTGGGCTTTCTCTTGGACAGACGCAAGCTTACGACCGTGGCCTGCCTGTGAGGACCCCTAGTGGTTCCAAACCATCCGTGGCATCTTATAAGCAAATGTGGAGGCTGCCAGATCCCGATGCCATTCCGTCCACGACTCCAAATCAGACAAGTCCAGTTTTATTATCACGTATACCTAAGGAAGGTATCGAAGGCAAGGTGGACGAGCATATGTCATGCGTGCTCGACATGCCCTTCTGGCTCGAAACTGTTTTGAGTATCCTCAAGGGTGACGATTGGGAGGTTTATTGCTTTGTGTTGGTACACCTCCCATCGCAGCTGAGCAACCATGCCATCTTCAAGAATGCCCTCCCACAAATCCGAGAGCTACGGAAGTTGATATGCGAGCAAATACGTTCAAACAGCTTTCAAGAGCCCCCAAATGCATCAGGCTTACGTCGCGCCGATGTTGCTATCTGTCTCTTCCACAGCCTGACGATGATTCTCAGCTATCATGACCACTTCTTAAAAGGAGAAGAAGATGAAATCGTGAAGACGTATGTCCATGGTATCACAGCATGGGAAAGGACGGCTCAATGCTGCATACATGCGCTTTCGATCTGCTGCCATGAATTACCATTATCTGTGAGCAAATCTCTGGGACAAATGCTGAATCAAATGAGCACAATCATCACGCAATCCAACCTTGCTATTCATATCTTGGAGTTCCTGGCCTGTCTGAGTCGACTCCATGATGTGTATGTCAATTTCAGGGAGGACGAATATCGAACGATTTTTGGCATGTGCTTCAGATATCTTGACTATGCAAGAGACAAGAGGCAGCAGGCAAGCAGGAACCCTCTCGTGAGTGAGCCTGTAACTCCAGTATCTACCCGCTCCGGCAGTGTGGACTTGACACACCCCAGCGCTTCCGATGACCTTCCCCAGTACGTTTATGCGCTCGGATACCATGTCATTTTGTTCTGGTTCCTTGCGCTCAAATTGCAGGACCGTCCCAAACACGTGCCCACGATAACAAAGAAACTCTTCACGGAGGTCGATGGTTCTGGGACTACGTCCGAAGAACAAGCTCTTACGACATTGGATTTTATGCAGAGAGTTGCGTACGCAGACATCGAGGAGTCGGCCGAAGACCCTGAGTTTAATGAACAGCGTTTTGGCAAAATGGCTACCAGGAACTGGGTCGTTGGCAACAGTATCGTCACTGTCAAACAGAGCCTTAACACTGGCTGGGCACAAGTCACGAAAAGGCAACCGTCAGGGACCTCGGTGTATAGTATGCGAGAAGTATTCAGACCACCTCCCTTACATCAAACACCCAACCATGTTGATGTGAGCAGAGGTGGTCAGCCATCTCAGAATACGGTCATGCCAAGTCATCTTCTCATTCAGTTGATGTCTTCAGCGCCTCAATCATGTGACTCCACCCGGCCTATACCGCTACCAGAAGATGACACCATCGAACGGGCAATACGGATGTTTGACCTCAACCCGACGACCGACGGGCACAAAGTTGGCGTCATCTACATTGGCGAAGGGCAGACGCAAGAGCTTGATATTCTAGCAAATGTTTCTGGAAGCAGTGACTATGTTGAGTTCCTGAACAACCTTGGTACATTGACCAAGCTCAAGGGAGCTACCTTCAACACGCAGGGCTTGGATAGAGAATTTGACCTGGATGGCCAGTACACGTTTTGCTGGCGAGACAGAGTGACAGAAATCATCTTCCACGTCACAACTCAGATGCCAACCGACTTGGAGCGATATCCCCAACTTGCGAATAAGAAGCGACATATTGGCAATGATTTCGTCAACATTGTCTTTAATGACTCTGGACTCCCTTTCAAATTCGATACCTTTCCAAGTCAATTCAACTACGTGTACATTGTCATCACACCTGCCTCTCGGGCGTCCTTTATCGCCTCCCGTGAGGCTAAGGACGAACAATCCCGGGATCAGCCGTTCTATAGAGTCCAGGTGATGAGCAGACCCGGCTTCCCCGAGATATCCCCTGCATCTGAGACGAAGATGATCTCACTCAAGGCGCTCCCGGGATTTATCCGTCTGGTCGCGCTCAACGCATCTGTCTTCTCCATGGTCTGGCAGAGCCGTAATGGCGGAGAGCACGTCAGTGCCTGGAGGAATCGCCTTCGTGAGATCAGGCGCCTCCGTGAAAAGTATGGACCAAAGTCATCAGCCGCCTCATTTGGCCCTGTGCCCCCGCAACAACGCCCGTCACCCTCACCACCACCGTCCCTGTCGTCCGTGAGCATTGCCTCGCCAGGGCAACAAGTGCCGCAGTTCTCACAGCCATTCCAGCCGGCCTCTGATTCGTCCCGCCCCAACAGCGGAGTCAGGGAGAGCTTTGGCTTGCGGCGCACGAGCGTAGCAACCTTCTTCACGAGTTCCAGCGAACAGGCGTCGCACCGGTCATCAACCGTGTCTGGCGGAACGTCCGACACCGAGATCGGACTCAACGGCAACCTCCCATCAGACTCAGCAGCCGACTCCGTGGACTTCTCCCAATGGGCTTGAGTCTCCTCAGCGCTGGGGGTCTTGGGAGTCTTGTTTTGATTCCATTTGCACCACTCATGGGAGACGACGAGATGAATACTGTACGACATTAAAAGTGATTTTTTACCACCCCCCCGCTCCCCCTTCTTGTTCTCTGTTCAATATCGTATTGAAAAAACAAAAATGGCGCCCGTTTGTTATTAGATGCATATATATATATATATATCCCACTAGCATAAGTTACTTGTTTTTTTTTCCCCCTTAAATCGGATTTTGACCTCAGCGACGTTTGTGTGGTTTATTGCTTGGGGTTTCATTTCAGAAACAAACACCTTCCAGTCTTTTGTTGTTCAAATCGGTCAAGTAATTTGTTTTGGGAGGCCCCGTTGATTCCATTGTTTTTGCCCAAAAAAAGAGTGAAGAGCAGTTGCCCCCAATGGGCTATCCATCCCAGCATGAATAAAATATCAATAGCGTTGTGGCAAGATTCTCCGTGATTAGCTGTTGCCGTTCGAAGACCCGGCGGGTATTTGTGTTTACTGTTTACAAGCTTGCCATTGGTGATTGTGGAATATCTTACTTTCGAGGTGTATCTACTTAACTCATTCATGCTCAATTGCGGGCGACTCTATTGAGATAGACAATTTGATTTTGACATGTATGACCTAAAGGATAGTATTCTGAAGAAAATAGCACACTCATCAGACGAAGCTTGGACGATGTCGCAGCTTGCCCAATGGTTTCAACGAGAGAAATTGCTAACAATTCAGCTTCAAAGGAGAGCGAATAACGAATATATGACAGGAACGAACCCTCACCCTCCTTGACATATGAGATGTTGGATCTAAGTTTCCAATAGTCAAAGCAGGAGTCGGAGGTGTGAAGGATAAACGTATAATATATTTCTGAGAGTTTCGGGCAAGACGGATATTCCTCTCTTTCAAATGTATTTCCAGACTTCATGATATTCTGCCCATTGCTTAAAACCTTTTTGCAGCAAGTTAGATTTCGGTGATGAATGCTCAGAAGGAAGGGAGAATAGTCCATACCAACTGCTTCTAGCCCATTTTCCTCGGCTTTAAGGCCGTCAGCAAGTGCGCCGAGCATTCCCTTCGATTGGAGGAACTCGCAGCATGCTGTGATCAGCCTGACCTTGATCGTTTCTCGCCGATTGACGACTTCGGCACCATCATCTATAAGAATGTCAGTAAATGCAATCGACCAAAAGTTGACGAGCTTGAACATAGGCTCATTGGGGAACGTACCCTTGATACAGACGCAAGTGATACCGCCAACTTGGCCACCATTCCCTCCTATCACATCTGCCCACGGCAAATCAGTGGCGGTAGGGTTACCGCTGTTGGGGATATACGTAATGGCAGAAGCCACAAGAGTTGAGCCTTCAAAGCCAAGGAGGACGTCTCCAATGTTATTGTGGTCCAAAATCCGAAGATACTGGTCGAACCACCCGAAGTAATGTCTTCGTTCCGTCTCCCTCCCAACCATGTCCAATACCGATGGCACATCTGTTAATTCACACGGCTTGAAGGTTAAACCTGCTGATGCAAGGTTCAGTGAATGATCGCCATCAAATCGTACCAACCAGTCGGCCATGAGGCGGCCTTCTCCCGCCTTGTGGATCGTCCCGAAAGGCCAGCCCTTTCCCTCTAGCCACTTGATATTCGGATGTCCCGTGGGAATGCCGTACAGAAACCTTGGGAACGTACTGCCGAGCTGGAGTCGGCGAACCCCGCGAATTCTGCTGAGACTGCTGACAGTCGTATCGTGCAGCGCCTGGCCGATACCCATGCCTCGAAAGTTCTGTTGAACAATCATGATTGCTAGGGACCCAATGAGCTCTTCCCCCCTGCTATCGCTGATATTTGCATACGCCGCGCAGTAGCCGACCAAATGACCCAGGCTCGGTTCTCGTACGACGTGATGTACAGCGTAATCTGGGCGATTGATCAACGAAGCAAAATGTTCCCGGTCGAGATGAAATTTGGGAGGAACATTCTCTAGCCATAAACGATACATTTCAGGGATATCGCCGGGCGACCATCTTTTGACAGACCAAGCATGCCTGCTTGCTAATGCGGCGGGGGCTGAAGGGGCTGAAGGGGCTGAAGGGTCCGGGGCAGAAGCTGGGGGAGGTCCTGGAGTAGGAGTAGTAGGAGGTGAAATAGCCATAGGAGTCGGAGCCGGGGCAGGGGCTGGAGCAGGACCTGAGGCCTCGCTTTCGCTCTCCCCGTTGAGCAGAACGGAAGAGACAAGACGCATGTCGATTGCAGAGAAGCCGGTTGTCTGAATAATAGTTGGGAAATCGTGTCGTTGGATCTCTTGCTCGTCTAGGTCACAGCATGCCACGACGATGAGTGGCCGAGAATCACAGGCTTCGTTGACTAGGTCAGCCAGCTCCGTTTGTGTTTTGTCGTCGTCTGAATATCCGGTGAGGACAAATATAACAACGTCTGCCTTCTTAATGAATGCAATGTGAACCCCGGTAATACCGTCCTGTTTTGTATAGGGAACGTGACGGACTGCAGGATGCCTGGTGGATAGGGATCGGCCTAAAGGCTCAAAAGGATCGCTTGTCTTATCAACTTGGGACTCTGGTGGAACAACAAGCGGGGTTAGGAGAAGAATAATGTCGTCTTTAGATAGGCATCTGTCCAAAGGCACACAGTTCTGGCGGTCCCACAACAATTTTGCTGAAGGAGAAGAAGAAGCCCGGGAGCTTGTCTGTCGCGTCGACAATGTTATATCTGACATCCTACTCTTCTCACATGGCGTGCTGTGCGGCTGAACATGCAATGGGACACTGAAGGTTTGACAACGGCCCACGCTATGAAAACCTCCAAGGCTTCAGTGTGAGATTATATGCTTTGGGAGGGATCGAGCTGGTGTGTGGATGTCGAAGCTCCTGTGGGGGGGAGTCCTGAGACTATATCGGATCTTGATCGAGTCTAGACCAGAGACTTAAATAAGGGTAGCAGGCTAAGTGGAGAGATCGTCAATATGCTTCCTTGTCCTATGAGAAGGTAGAGGGCTGATGGAATGTGGTGGAGTAGACGACTCATGCGACTGGTGACGGAAGGAAAAGGGACCTCCTGCTCTGAGGTGGGAGCTTGTCTACATGCTGGCCGTTTGGGGCACCTGGGGCTACCTGGGCCGGGTTCTGAAGTAGTCGGCCAAGCCCGAGATGCAGATGAACCTAAACTCGCATCCCGGAAATTTTTGGTTCCAGAAGAGACAGGATCGAGGTTGCCAGCCGCGCCTCGCAGTTGCGCACATGGCGTGTTACTCCAGCAATCCCTGTGCCATCTTTCCAAAAGGCGAGTCAAGTGGGGGTAAATGGTCAAAAATTGGCAACCGACCAACATGGCTGTACACATGTAGGTATGGATATGCTGTATGCAATGGCCAATAACCCACACCAGAGTGGATTGGCAAACAAACGAGGTATGGTAGCACACATGTTATAGGGCGTAGTGTACGGAGGTGGGCTGGGATTCGAATAAGGGAAATCAATCTTGGTACTTACGGTGGCAGTCCTGAAAGTGGATAGACGTATCGGCGTGCCGTTGTCGTAGATTTCTGCCTGGTACATTAGCAATCAATGCTGGGAACATTTGTGGCATGGCTGGGCTGGATAAGTACTTGGAAGAACCTGGAGTCTTTGGCTTGCGATCCACGGACGGCTATAAATCGATGAGGGCCTGGAGGGTACTTGGTAATTGTCAGCTACAAGTTGGGAGGAAACGAACGCCTAGGCTATGTACAGTGAACAGTTGGTGTAACCAGGATGAACGAAGGAGATGATGAACTCTGGAGGATTGCCCAATCAGGCTTCACCGAGGGTGAAGGGGGTGATATGGCAACGATCCCTTCAAGGGTTTTGAGACAACCGAGAGGTTTGCGGGTAGCACGATGGTGAGCCACCCTACCTTCAAGGAGGCTAGCATGAGGCTAGTAGCTTCTCAAGGGGAAAGAAAGGTGTCTCCCTCAGATACAGACACACCACAGAGTATGCGATGTCGTCTCAAATACGAGGTGAGTGTATGTACGATGAGAACATGGTGCTGACCTGGCTTGGTTCATCGACACGGCGATAATGGGGCCGGACCACTGCGTATGAGTCTCTCTGCTCAGTGAGCTGGCGGCTTGGGGTAGAAAAATCTGCCCAAGTTGTGATTTCGAGTCAAACCGGGCGGGTTGGGCCCCACGAAAGTGTCGGTCAGAGATGCAATCGTGATGAAATTGAGAGGACTGAACTCGGATTTACGAAGCTACCAAGCTTGGTGATTGGCGAGGTAGGATCATGGGATGTTCATTACGTTGGACGGCCCTTATCTGATCGGATTAGTCTACCCCCATGGTGGTATGAGGAGGAGATGTTTCCTCGGATGGGCAGGTACCTTTGGCATGGTGACACAGATATCTGAGTGCCAAGTTTCGGCCTGAAGAGAGGGAATGCTGGTGTTTGCTTATTGTCTCAAGCCAGAAGTGATGAGGCAGTGGAGCACGGGATGCGCGGGTGGTAGTGACTTGGACGAGTAGGGACATGGCAGTTGGCCGATAGACCAGGGTTTGGAACATGGCAGATGAACGCTGCTGACGCCTTGAGGTTCGGAATTCTGCCCTCCAGGCAAAGCCGGCCCAGGGATGGATGGCCCGTTTGGGCGGTTTGTGTGACCTCAACGAGGCGCAGAACGAGTGGGTTAGATTGAGCAAAAAAGTTGCAAGGATGTGCGGACGGGGGTCGCAGGCTGGGATGAGATTGAGTGGATGTGATTGGGTTCCTTGACGCCATTTCACATGAGGCAGCCTGCAGTCATCGCACATTGGCAGACGCGCTCTCACTCGCTCCCACTTACCTCCGGAGCGGCGGAGGGTCTGGGGGCCCCGATCAGGACATGGCACTTGCCGTGGATTGGCGGGCGGGCGGGCGGCAGGCCTCAGTCTTGTGTCGTGGAGGGTAGGTGCCACCCTCCAGGCTGCTTTGTATGACTTGAACCTTT